AAATGGGTTTTCAAAATGAGGGTGATGTTGCACGAGTTTGGTCAACACCTGTATATATATTTTCAACGCAGCAACTGATAAAATGTAGTTACGGGTACAGATTGCTGAAAGGAAAAGGAGCGAAAACAGAACAGTGAGAACGAACGAATGAACAATTTTTTGTTAGTTTCACCCGACAAATTTTGAAGGTTTTTGTCTATTACGAGCCACATCTCTCAGCGTCTCTAACCATAGGCAATCCTCATCTCTTGGACCCCGAAACGGAAGGTGGGCTACGCCAACCGAAGCTAAAGCTGAGGCCAGCTCCTTCATACCTCTACACCATGGTCTGACCGCCGTGGCACTTCCTCCGGCCTTAGCCAGCACATGCAAAGAGAGCACGGAGAGACAGACGGTGAGCAGGCATACGCATAACGTGCCCAAACTATCGGAGGCGGTGTAGAGCGATTACTTCCGTTAGAGAACGACTACCAGTACCCAACATATAACGACGTATTTTTCGCTCACACGATTTTCCCACCAGACACGAGCAGTGCTTCGAAAGCATTGGTGCTTAGTTATGGACAGTCGATTTGCATCCTCAACTCGGAGGGGCCAGGTTTCGCAACCGTAGGGCAGAACACTGTGAATCGCGTCAGTATTCACCCTTCCCTTAAGGTAGAACCGGACGTCCTAATTGCGCCACTGGTTTCGCAGGTTGGTAAAAGCTGCTCTAGCTTTCAGCATTCGTGATACGATCTCTCCGGAAGCAACACCTCCGGTTGTGATTAAGCTCTCAGCTACTCCTATGTGATCACCGGAAAAGGTGAGTTCAGACAGGCTCCTGCCAGTCTTGTACAAACACTTAGCACTTGGATGGTGCAAAGCACATACCAAGGGATGAGAATTGTCAGTGGTTAGAGACACAGAGACATGGTTTAGAATAGAAACTAGCGGCGTGAATGCTGCACGGTTTATCGTGTTAAAATCCCGTCTCTCATAAAAAAACATTAACAAATAACTAAAAAGTGTACGGTAAAATAGGCTAAATTGTTTTTATTCTAAGTTACCCTCAGTAGTGGGCTTCTCCGAATCTTTCTCGTGTGAACCTGAATCGCCCCTCTCTCATTATAGTTTTCGCATCGACACTAAACCTATCGAGGTGAACGGAACGTCTTTTGTCGAAACCTTTACTTAAAAAGTCATGCTTGTTCGATCATATTTGCTATGTTCTGACGCATTCCGTCACAATCTGTCCTTCATTTTAGACGTCGTGATGTGACTGGATCACAGCTGGTCACTCCATCCGAACGACCGGTATCCGATCAACCTGACGACCTGTCTCTTAAAGACAGGTCCGCAACCTTACTTTCAAATCCGGAAGATGATGTGCCTGCGAAACGTTGCCGAACAGATGCCGACTCACTAAGCGACAGCAGTAACCGTGCTGAAGACCCAAGCGCTGTATGGCGTACATCAGCCAAGTCGCAATCCTCATCTGGGGTGGCGAAGACTCAAGATGAGGAATTTGATGAATATTTTTCGGACATGCTCCTTTAGTCTGTGTTGATCTTCCTGCTCCTCCTCTCAAATCGATTTACTCGGTCGATGAAACTTGTGTGTGTAACAATTACATCAAGCATCTGTTCCTACGCGCCCGCACGCCTCTGACTTTGCATTTTCGTCTACAGTTCTCGGAGAAAGATCGTTGTGAATAAATTAGATCTTTTGAAGCGACTTCACTACTTCTGTGAATTAATTGAAAAGGTTCATTGTGCCATGTGACGTGTTTGATGTGGATTGGAATCTTACCGAAGCTGGTAATCTGTTTCGTTATTGGCCTAAATAAAACGCAGTGTTTCTTGCATTTTTATTTTTAGAACTTCTAAAGTATCATTTCCTCCCGAGCCCAGGTGACTTGGAAAGACCCCCCCCCCCCCCCCCCCCCCCCCCCCCCANCCCCCCCCCGCCCCACCCCGCCTGCCCTCGAAAGTCAAAACAAACTAAGATAGAGCACTATCAGCCTACACACTAAACACATTCGCTACCGTGCGCGGTGACCACTTGCAAATCGATAGCTGGCTATATGGGTGAACTGTATAGGTATTAACCAAACTCGTGCAACATCATGACTTTCCCCAAATATATTTATCTCATTGCCAAACATTTTGATCCTCATGCACGGGAATGTGCATGGTATTACCCTAGGTCACTCGCAAAATTTTTATAATAGTAATAACTTATATGGTTGCTTCTTTTGGCCGAGCGCGTTAGACAAGTACAGTTTCTCCATTTCGACTATGGTTGCCGACGCATCGACTGTAACATAACCGAACGTTTGAGGAGGGAAATGATAGAATTTTACTCGTGAAAAGAACTTATATCAATTACACAGATTGAGGAGTTTCATATTTTTAATAATCTGTGTCCTCCTTTATTTTGGAGCACTTGAGTCAGTCTTTTTGGCATGGAGTCCACTTGGAAATTGGATCACTTTTGTCAGTTTCCTCCGGTATATGCAGCACCCTGGCCTCCAACGACCACTCTCGAGGAAGGTGACTCAGCTCTGTTTTCAACACAGAAAAAGTTTTCGATCACATTCGAATCCGGGCTGTTAGGTGGAAACTGAATGAATTCGATTTTTGACGTAGCCATTTCAGATCGTGTCTAAGCATGAAAAAAACATGTATGCTTCAGTTTAAATGATTTTGTGACATACCTCACGTGAAACATGACATGGTACATTGTCCTGTAAGAGTATGGCTTAACCGAAGACATTCCGAGAGTGGTAGTCACTGAAAACTTCCTTGATCAGTGAGGCAAATTTTGCACTGTCCAGTGTACCATGAACAGGAGCCCAACGACAAGATACTTCGTATCTAATCCCCACCCAGATCATTAGGCGAGAAGGATATTTGCTTTTGTTAAGCGGAGGAATGGATTTCTTCGGAAAACTAGGTCCACTGATTACCTTTTTCCACCTGGTGTCTTGCTTTTCAACCACTAGACATTCATCAGTGAAATAAACTGAACGCCAAAAGGGCAGGCGATGCGATTTGAATTCGTGGGCAAAATTCATACGTGCCTTCCTTTGTTTGGTGTTCATTGGTGGCTTCACATCAGCTGATTTCAGTAGGTCGAATTTAGCCGTCGTTTTCCTAGCGATGGCATACGAAAATTCCGGTAAATGTGCTCGTACTATACTGGGTATTGGTTTCTTACAATTTCTTTTGAGCTGTAACTTTATGTAGTTGTTGTCCTGCTTCGATGTGGTCGGTTTTCTTCCTCCACACGGACGTCTCAATGGAGAAATTTCGTGAGTTATACGAAAAATTGTGCCTCTGTTCATACTGAAGCATTTGCGCAGATCAGCAACTGAAACGCCGGATTCATACGCTGTTTTTATACGTTCCCTCTCTTCTTCACTTGTGTATCGAAAACTCTTGGGTTTATCATCCGGTTTGGACATGGTGACAACACAAAATGAATATTGGACATGCCGCACACCTCAAGGCCATTGCTCGAAGGTTAAATTTCACGTTCCTGGAAATATTTTTTACTTCCTTCTTGATGCGAGATTTTGCGGGTGCAGTTTGTAGCCACATATATTTTCGAATAAATTTTGATCATATATCATAATTTACCTGTAAAATTACTTTGCATTGTATAGAAAAAGATATGCTATTTAAAGTACTCGGATGGAGCGGAATAAACATCCTCATGGAACAATATTCATTGGTTAGAAAGAATAGACGTCCGTGCTTCTTTGCACCAAATGGTTTCTAATTTTTAACAGTAACTTCCGAACTACTGCAATTTTTATCATGACCACCAAGGTCGA